AAGTAAGAGAAACAGTAGGATGGTAACCAGAGAGGGAGCTTGCCTGGTGGGGTTTACATAAGACTATGCTTATTTCATGTGAAAATGTGCTATGAAATTATCTGTCTTCATCTGAAAGTCATGTTTGTAGGCTGGACCTGTCTGACTCAGTGTGAGAGATTTCATTAGTGCTCAAGACGGTCTATAAATGACTGCTGAGACAAAACATGGGTTGTGTAGTTAAAACCTTCTATGCATATCTGAATTCAACATCAATTAGAAAAAATTCTTGATTTTTTAATGTGTACTATGTATCCCCCAAATTATATATATCTTTATTTTCTTCTCTTTTTATTTTGTTGTTTTCTGTTTGTTTTTCCATAATTTTCCTTTCTCTTTATCTTCCTTTAAAATGTATCCTCATTATTTCTAATATTTCAGATTTCCATGTTTTTCCCTCTTTTCTTTTCTCCTGTGCACTCACTACCATGAGGTTTTTCGATGACAGTCATTTGATTTGGAAATTTTTTTGTCTGATTTTAACTACCCTGTCTTTTTTTTTAATTTTATGCACCACTTTTATCCTTTCAAAACAAGTGGATCTTTATAAGCTATAAAGATGGGCTGAGGTAGGTAATTTTTCATAATCATCATAGCTATGTTATCTAAAACTAACAAACAAGACATTTTATGTGCCTTGGAATGGCTCTTAGAATAAAAATGCCTCACTGAAATTATTCACCTTTTACCTAAACTTTCTACTTTTAGACTTTTTTCCTTATTCTATAGCTGTATTACTACTTTCCCAAAAGAACAAAAAAGAAAAAAAAAACAGTATGTGGATATGAAAAAATTTATTTTACATTATCTTTAAGATTGTAAAGGTAAATTTTATCCAAAACTTTTTTCTCTTGTTACCAGAAATAAATGCCTTAGAATAGAATTAGCTTCAGGTATGCAGAAATAATTTTCAAGTTGATATTACAATGTATTGGGTTTTGGAAAAGCATAAAGCATATGTTGTGTCTCTAGTGGACGAGGGGGGATGATTATTTTGACCATAAGGAAGAATAAACACACAGTATAATTCAGTGGAACTCTAGACGGGATACCGTACTTGATAGTTGCTTGGTCCACAATTTTGGTCTTAACAGAACTGATTCAAATCCTGGTTTTGTCAATTGTGACTTAAATTGAAGTAATTGTGGTTCTCTGAGACTCAGTTTACTTGGCAAAAAAAAAAAAAATTGGGGATTTATAAGCCAAGACTATTACAAATATTAAACAAACTTCTATACACAGAGTATTTAACATAGCACCTGGCACATACTGAGCATTCAGTGAATGGTTGGTAGTGTTACACAAACACTCAAATATGCTTGATTAAAATTGATGAAAGCAAATATGCTTGATTAAAATGGACGAATGACCTGCAAAATTAATTAAAGTCAATGCCAGAATTGGTAGCATTATCAATATTGACACTCTGGGCAAATAAAAACAGCCAGGCATTTATGCTTAGAGGTCACAGCCTATTAATTTCTGTGGATAAAATAAAACAGAGAGGGGTAGGGGCTGTGTGGCAGAGATGCTTTCCTCATAAAGGTAGAGAAAATATGTATTTACCTGGTCACCAGCAATAGCTTTCTTTTCACTACCTGAGGAATCATTTATTCAACAAATGTTCTTTGATTGCCCATCATGTGCCTGGCTGTGTTTACCTACCATGCAAAAGGAAATACCTCCTTTTCATGCTTGAATGCTTTCCTTTTCCACAGACTTTTCAACTGGGCCTGGGAGATGGGCAGTTCTATTCATGGACAGATGGTTTGAGAAGAAAAGACTGGCATGACTATGAAAGCATTCAGAAAGAGGCTATGCGCTCAGGTACGGAGTTCAGTGTAAGCCACAGTGCTGCTTGCCTTACCTCAGTGTCTCACTTGTGCCTTAAAGGATCTCTAATCAGTGTTTCTTCCACACACAGTGAAGTGTGTCTCATGGGGATAGCAAAGCTCAACACTGGGCAAAACCAGAATGACTTCGAATTTCAGATACAGAGAGAAAATATCTAATGAATAGCCTTGCCAATGGCAGCTGCCATCGAGGTGATTAAAATTCTGGAAACCTATGCTACTTTACATTTCTACACCACTTTTAATAATTCCCAGGGATGTCTTGGGATTTACCTATGAGACCTGACCTGGTAGATAGGTATTAATATTTTGAGCAAGATTTTCTCATTAAAGGCTGACGTGTATCTAACCGACAAGGAGAAGTTACCCAATTTCTACCATGATTTCTAGACATTGGCGCTGGGGAGGAACAAGGGCTCCAGCAAGTTAGTGGATCACAGCAACTGGGGACCTGAGGCTGGCAGGACTTGGACAAACAAATAAGCAGCTAGAAGAAAACGAGGAGGTCTGTACATGTTCACGAGTCCTAAGCTAGAGTTTCAGGACAAAATAACAGGAAAAGAATAAGCCCTTCTAGATGAACTGGAAGATTAGGTTGTTGGAAATAAGGATTCAGAACGATATAGATGTGGAAATCCAGTGAAAGGGAATGAAGAGTGATGGGAAACCCACATTGCTTATGTGGCCAAAGGAGCTCTGATTTTTTCACGGTGAGGATGTCATGGAAATAGAAACGTGTTTGCTAAACACATTCGAGCAGCATTCCAGGTCAGATCAGCCACAGAACTATGCCTCGCCCACATGTCAGGTCCTCCTGGCCAGCATTTCTCTGAACCCATCCCCACAGGATGACAGGAGTGAGACTTAAATAGTAAGTTGTCCCAGGCTCGGAGATGTTTTAAGATCTGTGTCAGATACAGCTGACCTAATAATAGACTTCTTTCATTTTCTTCCTTCATTCTCTTTCTCCAAATAAAGCTCCCCTCACCTCAACATTATTAAAGCAGTTTGACCCCCAAAATGATCCCCATTTTGAGAGAATCAACTTCCTTCAGGGATTATCATGTGTCCTCCACAGCAATGACTCCAAAAATGGTCATAGGAGTGAGTTCCTTATCATATTCTCACTTTTGTTATCCTGATATCTCTTTCTTCTATTCGCTTGATCAGCTTGAGGATGCTGAAGTTTGTTGGGTCTCCAACAACCTTTCCGATGAAAGCTGCCGCAAGTTGATAATTTAAGAAATCAAAAACGTACTGACTGGATGTTTTGCATTAGACCTTTTACATGGGTATTTTATTTGAATTTCAGAACAGCTCTCATGTGGGGTACTGTTGTCATTAATTTTTTTAAAAGGGAGTCCCTAAGAATTTATTAACTTTTACCCAAGGTCAAACAGCTAATAGTTCTCAGTGCTAAACTCAGAACCAGATCTTATCATGCTCCATTATGTCCCCCTGTGTGGTCCTGAATAATAATATCAGGATAATATCCTGTAAGGACAAAGACACAAAGCAAAGAGATACACTAGGTTTCAGTCTGAGCTTTTCAGCACACAAGCTGTGTAACTGGCAAATCAGTTTGACGTTTCTAATGTTCTCCTTTATAGAATTTCTCTAAGACTTGAAGATAATACAGGCTGTCCATAAAGTGTGTGCAAATTAAAATAGTTTTAAATTTTAAATTGCTCATGAGCTTTATGGACACCCCATAGACCTAAAGTAATTGACCAAGATTTGGACTTATCATAAATTCAACTGATGATAACTGTAAGAATTACCAATCTGTCTACTTTACTTTCCCATGAATTGGTGTATCTATCCTTAGCTGACACCAATGAGTTAGGATTACGAAAATCCAGCATCTCACATGTATTTGTGTTTCATACCATTATTTCCATCTCCTGGATAACATGATTTTTTACATTTTCATCCTCGCTTAGAGCAAGGGAAAATTAATCTACTAAAGAAATTGGTAATGTAACAAATTTAAGTTCAAATTCTCTGTGCAATTAAAAAGCTTTTACATAAGAGTGTGTGATTCTACCTAATTTCCTGGAAGACACATGATAAATATAACAGACCAGAATTTACTATTTTGATATTGTGAAGTACCTTAAATGAAAGTATGTTAAAACCTAAATGTGTGCATGTATACATGCACAGACACACACACACATGCAAACACATGCACACACGCACACACACATATGTACACAATGCACATACATGCATACATGTGCATATACACGCACACACGTACATGTCAACATGTGCACACGCATGCACATGCATACACATGCATGCACACATGCACATGCATGCACACAGTGAACACATCCACACACATACACATGCATGCACACATGCACATACATGCACACTTATGCACATACATGCACACTTGTGCACACACATACACACAGTGCACACATGTACATACATGCACACACATACACATGCACACACATAAACATGCATGCACACATACACATGCATGCACACATGTACACACATGCACACACACATGCAGAATCAATACAAAATATATGTCTTTGTATTCCATATTTTGGCCAAAAGAAACCATCAGTGATGCTACTGTGCTCCTGCAAAGACTTGAATTTTGTGTTTACTCTCTTACACTTCTCTGTAGTTTTTGCCACCTTGTATTTTGCCTTAAACAAATGCCTGGGTTTGAACTTTACCTAAAATCTCATGGCTTTCTCCTTTCACTCAAAATGATTTTTAAGATCAATTCACATCAGTGTTCACAATGCTAGTTGGGTCGTGTTTACTACTGTTTACTTTTCTGTAACAATTCTCTCTGTGGACATTTGGTCAGTCCCTAGGGTTAGTTGTCATGTGCAGTGGTGCTGTAAGTATTCTTGTGCACAGCTCAGGGATAGAACCAGTGTTTTCTTAGGGTCCATATTTAATAGTAGATTTGTGTGTCTAGGGAGTATACGTGTCAAATTTATTTTGTCGTGACAAATTGTTTCCATAGTTGTTATACCAATTTTTACTTCGGTGAAGAACAATGCTCTGTATCCTTGGTAATGCTTGATATTGTCTTTTCCCTGAATTTGATGGTATGCAATAATCGCTCCTGGTCACTTAAACTTCATTTCACTAGTTTTTTTATTTTTTATTTTTTATTTTTTTTTATTTCACTAGTTTTTAATATGGGTCATCTGTTTTTTTTATGAGATATTTGTTTTTCCTATCTAGTAAAATTCCTCTTCATTTATATTTCCAATTTTTAATTATTTTTCCTCTTGTTTATTGAAAACACACACAGTACTCTGATTGACTTTGGATATTGATATTTGGTGAATGCCTATGTGAAAATGTCTCATCATACATCTGTAGGCTAGTTTTTAAAAAATCTCTTTATATAGAGAGGGTGGAGATAAAGATAGATTTGTGTGCAATTTAAATTAGTTTAACATAGTAAATTGCACACAAACTTTATGGACACCCTGTATATGGCTTAATGAATACTTCTTCATTTTGATGAAGTCAAATGCAAAAATTAATTTTTTAAGGATAGGTCATACTGGTGTTCTATATTGTCTTTTAAAATCTTGGCAATTTTACCTTTTACATTTAGGTTTTTAATCCATCTGGTCTGAATTTTTGTGTGATATGAGCTAGGGGCCCAGTATTTATTTTCTATCCATTTATATAACCAGTCCTCAGTGACATTATTAGAAAGTTTGTCTTTCCCTCTATTGATCTGAAATGTTTACTGTTACAAATTAAGTTTCAATATTTGTGCTATTCTCTTTCTGGTTTCTCAATTCTGTCCTGGGAGTAAAAACCCTCTGTGTTAATACCATGATAGCTTGCAACAATTAATTGATATCTGGTAAAGTTCAAGAAAGATTTACTTTCTAATTCTTCCTTAACATTTTAGAATTAGCTCTAAATTTCATACAAACACAGAAGAAATTGAAATTTTAGAATTACATGGAGCATATTGATGAATTAGGGGTTAATTGACAGTTTTTCTTCTTTTTTTTTTTTTTTTGAGACAGAGCCTCAAGCTGTCCCCCTGGGTAGAGTGCCGTGGCATAGCTCACAGCACCCTCCAACTCCTGGGCTCAAGCGAGTCTCCTGCCTCCGCCTCCCAAGTTGCTGGGACCACAGGCGCCCGCCACAACACCTGGCTATTTTTTTTTTTTTTTTTGGTTGCAGCCATCATTGTTGTTTGGCGGGCCCAGGCTGGATTCGAACCCGCCACTTTAGGTGTATGTGGCTGGCACTTTAGATAATTGACAGTTTTTAATATCAACTAGTCCATTCCATGGTGTGTCATTATAATTTTTTGCTATTTATTTATTTTCTCTAGGGAACAGTTTGTAATTTCATTCTCAGAATTTCTTTAGTGTTCAATCTTAGAAAACTAATATGTACGTATCTTTATTATGAAATTCACATTGTTGATAGCTGTTATAAAGAAATGTTAAGTTTTCAGGAGGGGAGGAGCAAGGTGGTGGCTGAGTAACAGCTTCCTTGCAACTGGGCACAGTGAGACTGGAGAGTGAAGACTCCAGGAATCACTGGCTGTTGGGATCTGCCCAGAAGTATCCCTTTGGGGACACAGGGAGACAGCAAAAGACTCTTGACCCCACAAGGAGTACAAAAGCAGTGGAGAACTGGCAAGTCCTAGAGTGTGTTCGTTTGGTCAGAGGCTGCCCCAGCTGTAACTACATCAACAGTGAGATTACAAGTAGGAAAGGCCTTACGTGTGAGCTGTTTTATTTTTTTGGATTTAGGCACTTGGTTTAGCTACCTTGAGAGAACTTGAGTGAGAGTGTGGGTGTCTTTAGGCATTCTCTTAGGGCCCGGGACTGAGCCCCTGAGCCAGATTGGAGCTAATATTGTGGGCCACCCACCAGACACAGTGGGAGAATTGCCCCTACAGGCTCTGCCCTCAGGGTCGCAGAGTATGGGCAGCCACTGTGGGAGAAC